AAAAAAAAAAAAAAAAGTGAGCTTTTACAAGATTGAATTTCCCTTCTGGAGTAAATAAAGTATTTTTCATTTCATTTTTCATTTCATATACACAGCTGCACCATTTTTCGGACGCCAGCAAAAGTGGCTATGGTATTGTTTCATATAAACAGATGACGATTCCCAGAATGGAACTCACGGCTGCAGTGAAAGTCGACACAATGCTGCAGAAAGAACTAGAACTTCAACTTGACAAATCCGTCTTCTGGACCGACAGCTCAGCAGTCAATGAAACCAAGCGCTTCCAAACGTACGTAGCAAACAGGATCTCCTTTGTGAGGGATGCTACTGATGTATCACAATGGAGGTATGTTAGCACAAAGGAAAATCCAGCAGATGAAGCCTCTGGAGGACTAACAGCAGACCTATTCTTAAATTGCAAATTGGATCAAGGGACCAGAGTTTCTCTACAAGCCGGACCAAAAGGTATGGTGTAATCTTCACCTGCATGGCAAGTAAGGCAATACATCTTGAAGTTACTGTCATGTCTGCCACCTCTGGCTCCCTCTAGTGGCAGAACCTCACCCTCCTTTCTTCAGACTCTGTATTCATGCAGGTGGAGGGCAGATGCAGCTCATCTGCAATCACTGGTCGGTTCCAGCTGTGGCGGGAGTGGTCTCCTCATTTTGAAATCCTGGTCTTCATATAAAAGGCACCAGCAGACCACTACTCAACGCCAGTCCGTTAACTACCTCCACTTAGTGAGCCCTGGCCAGGTTGTTGGTTCACTTCTCTGACTTCTGATTCTGTTTGTTAACCCTGTTTCTCCTTGTGCATCAGTTCCGACCCTCTCCGCCACCAGAAGATCCCACCAGCTGCTTTCCATCTGATCCTGTCTCTGCAATCATCCTGTTTGGTTTTCCCATCTTCATCTCCTGCCACCTAAACGCTCACCTGGACCGACTTGCCTCTGGAACACGCCACGCCACCACTACACAGACCCCTGGAGCCCATTCTCTGATTTCCCTCATTTCTGTCAGTAAGCTTCAAATCTCTTGCTTAGTTCTCAATGAGCCCCTAGGTTGAGTTAATCCTGATTTGTAGCTTTTGGTATAGTATGATTAGTCCTGTTGAGTTTTTTGTCTTTTGTTTGGTATAAGTTTTCCACCAGCCCATTTGAGAGCACTGGTTTGTTTTTAGTTCTGAGTATATGGTTCCTCGAACCCTAAAAACGCTTCTGTTTAATAAATCCTTTTCTTGTATGTACATCTGGCTGCCGAGTCTTTGTCCACATTTGAGTCTCTGAACCCTGTCCGTGACAGTTACACATACACTTGACACACTCCTGCTTCCATGCACTACGAAGATTCATTTGTTGACGAGGTCAAGTTTCATCCTTAAGATCAGACAACGGCACAAATTTCATCAGTGCTGATAGGGAATTGAGAGAAGCACTCACTGGCTTGAATCAGGATAAAATCCAAAGTGCTATACTTCAGCAAGGGCTAAGGTGGGCTAAGGTCCCATCACGGCGGTGTTTGGGAACGACTTGTCCGTATGGTTCGAAATGTGCTAAAATCTTCTTAACCAACAAGTTCTGGATGATGAAGGATTGCATACTTTACTTTGTGAAGTCAAAGCAATTCTGAATGATAGACCCATAACCAAGATTTCTGATGATCCAATGGACCTGAAACTACTCACACCAAATCATCGTCTTCTGCTAAAAAGTAAGCCAATATTACCACCACCACTTTATGAGGGAAGACTTTTACACCAGACGCAGATGGAGACAAGTGCAATATATGGCAGATCTCTTTTGGAAATGGTGGACACAGGAATACTTACCTCTAATCCAAGAGCGACAACAGTGGTCTAAGGTAAAAAGAAGTTTTGCTCCAGTGGACATTGTTATGGTGGTGGATTCCACTGCACCACGAGACTTCTGGCTAATGGGAAGGGTACTGGAGACAAAAGCAGATGCACAAGGTCTTGTCCGCTAAGGACTAGGCCCAGCAAGGACTGAGGACTAATCTTTGTTTTGTTTTTTCCTAATGTAATGTAATGTAATGTAAAAAAAAGAGGGGGGAAAAAAGGTTGTAATTTATATTGCTCCTATATTGTTATTTATAGGTAATTGTTACGTTATACACTAAAAACAATTAGTGGCCAGTGTTAGGAGCCATTTATGGTTGTTGTTGGCAGGTAATTTGATGTGGATTGTTTGGACACATGGTGGCGGTTTTGGACACAGGGTGTATATGTAGAGGGCACAGGTGACAGGAAGAGGAAGGCACAGGTAGGGGGAGAGCCAACAGCTCTCACCAGACCAGCATCAGACCAGCACAGGTACCAAATTCACCATAGGAAAACCCTTGTATTTTAATTTCTTACATGTCATCGAATAAACCATCCACTAACGGCAAGTATATGGACTGGAGATTCTGCTTTTAGTCTGCGTCTGTTCACTCTGCTCCACCTGTGAAGTAACGGCAATTAAAGGACATTGAAAAATTGCCATTGCAAGTAACGTTAATGTTCCTCATTGTCAGTAATCAGCTTTAATTTGACTCAGACACTGATGGTTTTGAAGTGACATCAGTTGCATGAGTTTGTTGAACATTTTCTCATTTCTTGTTGTGATGTTTGCTGCTGCCTCATTTTAAAACCAGATGATCCATGTTGAAGACGTGTTTTGTTCTTGTGTCATCAGTACAACAATGAAAATATAACTATAGGGCTGCTACTTCACAGATTCAGGAATTAAACAACCAAGTGAGTCTTTATGCCTCCAACTTTTTTTTTACAACAATGAAACAAAGATAATAGAAATATAAATACCAGATAAAGCTTCTGAGAACAATTTCTCAGAAAGGCTGTGAGGGAAGAGCAGCTTTTTATCATGAAATATTAGAATCACATCTGTAATATCTGATGGCATCGAGTCAACTACAGAGAAAAGAAAAAAGAAAATTACATTTCTTTAAGATCAAACACAATAAGAACTTTATTTACTGGAAACAGGGTGCTTAGTTTCAGGGCTTTAGTTCATAAAACAGGAAATTAATCCTGCATTAAACAGCTGAACTCGTCGTCAGTGCTTCCATCTACCTTTTATTTGTCATTGCTGTTTTCACTGACCGTGATTTCTGTTCAGTTTTTATCAGTAAACATCTTTTAAAAAATTTTAAAAATCCAATGATAAAAGCTCGTCAGTTGGTCACTCTGCAGCCTGATTTGTCTTCCAGCAGGTCTGGACAGACGACATGATGATCATGAACACATCTGTTTAATCACAACAATCACTCAGAGTTCATTTAACAGTTGAAATGTACAAATGTCTGTTTTCTGTGTTTCTTTTCTTAATGATGAGCTGGACCGAGGAGGAGGAAAAGTAAATGAGATCAGGAGCCAAAACTAGAACCACCTGGACACAAACAAAAATCGATGCTGCAGAATGAAATTTCCAGAACTGCTAGAGGAAGCTTTTGTGAACAGTGTGTGTCTGCTCACCTGCAGCATCGATGCAAAGAGAAGAAGAAGACTTGGAGGAAGAAGCTCTGCAGCCTGACTTCTGAGTTTCAAAAACTGATCAATTCAGCGCTGCAGCTGATCTCCAAGCAGCTGACAAACCCAACAATAAAAGCAAAGCGTCAAACAGGCGTTGTGTTATGGAATTAATTCCAGGCTTCTTTGTGGAACAGGTACAACCACTGCATCATTATTCGGTACTTCAACATCATGAACCACCAAACAACAAGCAACAATTTATCCTCACTTACAGAATACTTCACGTCCGTATATTTGGTCACCCAACCTTCAACATAAAAGCATGGCTGAAAACACAAAGTAAAGGCATATACATTTCATGCTGCTTAACACCTTCATTCGCCTACAATTCATTGGGTTACCTAGGAACATAACATTTTCATATACTTTTTATGTTCCAAACATATCTTTGACAAACCTTTTCAGTTTCACCTTAGTGGCTGGCTTTGTCATTTCATCAGCGAGCATTTGCTCAGTGGGACAAGACTCCAGACATATTTTCCCACTGTTTACAACTTCCCTTATGAAGTGGTACTTGATGCTTATGTGTTTAGACCTTTGCCTGTTTACAGGGTTTTGGGCAAGTGCAATAGTCTCTTGATTGTCTTTATACACTTTTGTTTGTGCATACTGATATTTGTCAATTCCTTCAAGTAGCTGTTCCAGACACATGCATTCCCGTGTAGCTGATGCTAAGGCAATGTATTCTGCTTCACAGGTAGAAAGTGCAACTGTTGGTTGTTTTCGTGACTTCCATGAAATCAAGAGAGCTTCCATGACTTAGGCTAACACAATAACCTGAGATACTCTGCCTGTCTGCTCTATCTGATGCCCAGTCTGCATCGCTGTACACTCTCAAACCTAGTTTCTTCTGTCATTTCTTTTGAAGCATAAATTCTGTTCTGCTGTACATTTAAGATATCTGAGCACGTGTTTTACAGTGTTCCAGTGCTCTTTAGTTGGGTTTTCAAAGTGCTGTGAGAGTTTACTGACCATAAAACTTATATGCGGTCTAGTGCATGTGGACAAATATATTAAACTCTCTGTACTTTCTTGGACATGTCGTTTGTTCAGCATTTTCTGTATAGTCAAGTTTCACTTCACATGGGGTCTCTTTGGACCTACAATCTTCCATTTCAAATCTTTTCAGTACTTTGTTCATATATCTGTTCTGTGACATAACAACCTGTCTATTTGTTCAAAGTCTATTCCCAGAAAGTGTTTCAGTCTTCCCAGATCTTTCATTTTGAACTTT